CGGTGGCGGGCAGGTTGTTCTTGGTGCTGAGCTGCGTGGGCTTGCTGACGCTCGCGCACCCGGGGAGGCTCCGGCACAGCCTCCTGGTGCTGCTCTTCGCCGGCTGCGTCTGGTGGGTCTCCTTCTCCAGCCTCGGCGCGCTGCCTCCGGCCCTCAGGCCGCTGCTCTCCTGCCTGGCGGGGGGCGCCGGGTGCCTGCTGGCCCTGGGCTTGGATCACTTCTTTCAAATCAGGGAAGCGCCCCACCATCCTCGGCTGTCCGGTGCCGCCGAAGACAAAGTGCCTGTGATCAGACCCCGGAGGCGGTCCAGCTGCGTGTCGCTGGGGGAGACCGCAGCCAGTTCCCATGGCAGTGGCAAAATGTTCAGGAGACCTTCGTTGCCTTGCATTTCGAGAGAACAGGTACGTGAACCCGAAAGCAGGGTCTGGGAAGCAAGCGGGTGCGGGTCGAGCGCCTCTCGGTTCCTGAGCCGAGTTAGCCGGTTTGAAAGCCTGTTGACTTTCGGAGTCGGGGGGATGGAGGGGGGGAAAAAAAAGGACCGGAAAGAATGTTTTGTTCGGAAAAGGATTCTTAAAATACAGAAAGCCTTTAAAAAAAAGCAGAAGCAAGTACTTTTTTATCCTTGATAGAAATGAAGTCGCCCGCTCACATGGCCCTTTTTGAAGACTTTGTTTATGCAGTCGATGAGTTCTTAGAAGAATGAGGTGATTCACTTTTGGTTTAACAGAATGACTGCTCGCCCTGATGTGTATCTTTTTAGTGCCATTTATCTGTTAGCTGTATAGTGATGTCTGTTCAAAGATAACGTGCAGCGTTTATAATGAGGGGGTATGCGAATTTTAACCAGTGGGGTTTTGTTATTAGGATAACAATTGAGAGGAGGCCTCTGAGAGATCATCAAAGAACAGTGATGAGCTTTGGAAATGAGACAATAATTTAGGTGAAAAGACAGCGATATGGGCTAATAACAAGTTTTTACAGTCTAAGTCATGGTTGTGTTTGTGGTATAATTAGGAGAATGTTTTAACAATTTGATCTTTAAACTTAGTAATGCCTAGAAAGATACCAAAAACATTTCCATTTTTTCCCCTGTAGGTTTACATATTTTTGTTTTTTAAAGGAATTGCAGTCATCATCAGGGAATGAATTTACATCTTTATATAGTGTTGGAAAATCTACCTGTTCTACATTCCCAAGAAAACTCAATAAGTATAGCTATTATATATTTAGCATTTACTAAGTGCAGAACATCTTGCATATATTGTCTCAAATCCTCATGAGAACCCTGTTTAGTTGGTGACTTTAGAGATCAGCAAATCTAGGCTTATAGAGATGACCCAACTTCACAAGTCTAGTAAGTGACAGGCTGGAATTTGATTAGATTTTTTAGTTCTCAGTGCTGTGTGTGGTTCTGCACAAGTAAAAGGATAAGGACCGTGTTTTTGTCCTTAATACATTTGATGCCTTCTTTTCTCTTCCTTCACTTCTTGTCTCTTGTCTTCAATGTAATCTACAAGCTACTACTACATTGATTTCATGACATGTTAAACACTGATCTGTAGTGTTCCAGTGACACAACACTTTGCTTTTTGAAATGGCTTTAGAAGCCACTTTTGTGGTCTGTAGTTATTTGGCCAAACACTTGAAAATTTTTGTTACACCTTTTGTTTTCTCAGTTTTACTACCACTGATAACAGATAATGCTTAGTAAAATGTGTATCAGAAGAAAAATTGTGGAGAGGATTCATTATAGAGTAAAATACTATCAACTATTTTCATAGAATGGAATTACATTTGACTTTTGACTACAAGTGAACAGATTGCATTTTTGTTGTTGTTTTTTTTTTGGTTTTTTTGAGTTGGAGTCTCAGTCTGTCGCCCAGACTGGAGTGCAGTGGCCGCTCCCGGCCACCGCAGCCTCGACCTGCTGGGCTCCGGCGATCCTTCCGCCTCAGCCTTCCAAGTAGCCGGAATTACAGGCATGCGCTACCACGCCCGGCTGATTTTTTTGATTTATTGTAGAGATGAGTCTCGCTGCCCAGGCGGGTCTCAAACCCGCGGGCTCAGGCAATCCACTCACCTCAGCCTCCCAAAGGCGCGGGATTACAGGCTGAGCCACCGAACCCGGCTTGAGTTTAACATATTTTAATTGTAATTTGTTGGTGTAGTCAATTATGTCTGTCCTTTTGTAAGTGGAAAATTCTAGTGTTCTTAATCCTAGTGTGCTCTTTCCATCACAGCAACCTTTTTCAACCTTTAGGTGCAGGGTTATACCAGGTATCTTTATTATTTGTAAAAGAAGAAAATACAATTTGTGCTTCTAAAAAAGGCATATTTTCTTAGTGCAGAAAAATCTTATTCACATTCTACTTTGAATAGGAATATTTTTTGGGAAAATATATGCAAATAGTTCAGGGCTTGTACATGGCTAGTTAATGTTCAGTGTCACAAAGTAATTATTTTGACATTACTAGAAAAGAATATTTTTAACATAGCAGAGATTGTAATAACAAGAATTTTTATTTATGCTTGTTCCCAAAGTTTAATGGAGGATCCGTGGTTTTTGTTTGCATGTATGTTACGTTAAAGGTATTAAGAAGAAACCACTATTTTTTTGGAAATAAAAGATCAAGAGATTTTCTGATTTTCAAAGTGTTGTATATGACAGTTGTAAAAACGCTTTCTTGTTTCAGAAACTGAAGCAAGATGAAAAGATTTTAGGTAGAACCTGACATAAAGGAAGATGTCGTGGATTTATAGGCAGCGGATTGAGGAGTCTTGGTTCAACTGTTTAATCTTGGAAAAGTCTGTAAACCTTTCTGAGCTCAGTATCCAGTAGATGAGTTCTATACTACTGTCCAATTCGAAATTAATTTCTGTTAGTAGTTAGTTTATACTTTTGGTAAGATATAAATACAGTTATAAATAAAATATTACAAATTAGTAATTCTTGAAGCTTTGCTTAAATAGTGAATGTTGATATTGCTACCCTATATTTTCTAAGGTGTAGTAATTGGAATAAGTGAGCAAATATTCTATATTTCTTTGAATAGAATTTTCTTTAAAATTCTAATTTTAATTTTTGCCATGGTAACAAAATTATTACACTTCTGTTCCCTTAAGAATTTAAACATTTTTTCCCATCCCCTCCAAGAATTTAAACATTTTCATTAACATCTTAGAAAGCCACTTCTGAAAACGCATCTCTCAGTATAAATGTTTTTAATTGTGTAAAAATAGATTTAAAGGAATTTTTAACTTTTGGGATATTATGTTAGGCACTGTGCTGAAAAATAATGGTACACATTCATATAATTAATTTAATAATTAGATTTATAATATTTGACTTAAATGCTATATATGCATCAGTTCTTAACTAAGACTTTTTTTTAAACAAAGTATTTAGAGAATTAAAATTTAAATCTAGTTACTGCAGACTGTGTTCTGCTAACGGAAAGAAGCACTGAGTTTGTAGTCTAGCTGCCAAGAGTCAGCTGAAGCTAATGGGAAGTTTAAAAAAAAAAATCAGTTGTCTACATAGAAGCTTTGACCAGAATTGAACAAACTAAATTTCTATGCCATTTTAATTATATATTCTATAATGTAGTTTTCAGCTCTTCAATGAAATCACTTTCTGTGTGATTAGGTAAATATGAGGTTTTGAAAGGCATAAGTTGGTGTGTGAAATATTTTTCTATACCTATAATGCTAAGTGCTTTCTAAATGGTTAGGTAAATATTTAAAAATTCTGTGGCCTTAATGCTCATAAATATTATTTAAAGTGTTAATTTTATTTGAAAAAGTCATACATATGTAGTGCGAGGAGTTAAAAAAAGAGAGACTTTAAAGTATAAGTGATTATTTACCCGTCTAAGGAATTTGCAGGGCTTAGTGAATTTCTTTAAGAATGCTGTAATATTTGTGAAATTTGTTTTATGGCTTCAGTGAGTGAGTGTTTTATTCTAATTTTGTGTTAATATTTTGTGGTAAAATATCAGCCTGAATAATAATTTTATATTTTGTACATATACTGTGTACTTTGCCATCAGAGCTATCTTTCAAAAACACGGATTTGATGGGATCACTCACTCTGTTTTAAACCATTAATTGTCCACAGGATAAAGTTCATGTCCTTGACCCTTGCTTGCAATGTCCTTCATAACCTGCTCTTAGACTTTTTTTGTTTGTGTTATGTTTTTTGTCTTTTAGAAAGCATTCTAGAATTTAGGGAACAGTCCCTTTCCACATGTATTCTTGGTTCTAGCTATTTGAGGACTGCTTCTTGTAGATTTTGTTTTCTTTTTCTTTTACCATTCCGACTTGTTGAAATCTCCTTTAAGGAACGAATAAGATTAAGTCTTTGGGCAGTACACTGCTACACAATGTAGGCTGAGAACAAAGCTCCATTATAGCAGAGGGGGCCATATTTTAAAATAAACGTTGACAAGTTATATGAAATAGTGTTGATATATGATAGAATATTTTCATTACATTGCATGAGTAACATTCATAATTTATGTTTTCATATACTGAGTGGAAGGTAATCATAAATAAAACCATAAAGTTTATTTTCTTTAAAAAATTTTATTTTAAAGATGTGGGATACAATTCAGGGTTAGTTATACAAATGTTGATTATGCAGGTACCTTGTTGATAGGAGCAATTTCCGTCAATTGCCAATCCCACTCCTCCTCCCCTGGCAGTTTCCCACTACAGCCAATCCCTTTCTTATAGTACTATGATAATTATTCAAGGTCCACTTATGAATGAGAACATATGGTACTCTGTTCTTTGTTTCTGTGATAGATCACTGAGTATGATAGACTCTAAGTCCATCCAAGTTGCTGCGAAGTTTATATGTTTGTCCTTTATGGATGCATAATATTCCATTGTGTATTTGTACCACATTTTTTTTTATCCAGTCCAGCTTCTGTGGGCAGCATGGTTGATTCCATGTTTTTGTTATTGCAAATAGAGCTGCAACAAGCATTCATGTGCAGGTATCTTTTTTGTAGAATGATTTGAGTTCCTCCAGGTATATTCCCAATGGTGAATTGCTGGGTCACATGGAAGGTCAGTTTCTAGTTCTTTCAAAAATCGTCACACTGTCTTCCAGAGAGGTTGCACTAGCTTACATTCCCACTAGCAGTGTAAAAGCATTCCTTTTTCTCCGCATCCTTGCCAGCATCTGTTATTGTTTGTTTTATTAATCATGGCCATTCTTACTGGAGTTAGGTGGTACCCCAGTGTGGTTTTATTTGCATTTCTCTGATTAGTGAGGCTGAGCACTTTTTAATGTGTCTGTTGACTGCCTGTATATCTTCATAAAGTTTATTTTCATTGTCCTCAGACTGTAACCTCCTCATTAGAAGACCTTTCTCTCATTTTCCCCTTTCCCTTT